GGCAGTTATGTCCCCACACCCAGGGTTAGGCCTGAGGTCCCTGGTCATGTAGCCTACAGAATTAATCACAGCCCTGGTGTGCACCCTGAAAAAACAAAGCTGTGAGAGGAAATTGAATGCCCCTATTGTGTGTAAGGGAAAACAGATGGTGAGCTACACCTCTTGTTTAAAGCTTTATATGAATCTGCTGCACTGAAACCTGAAACAGCTGCGGGCCAGTACAAAAGAACTGGCTGCAATACACTGGCTTGCTTAGACTTTTGCTAATAATGAAGAAATCATTGCTTTGGAAGAAAGATGTTACAGCGGGAAAATTAATACAAAGAAAAATGTTGAACTACTTGTGGGCTTCTACAAAAAAACCCTGTAACTTGTGATTATGATGTGATTTCTTCCTGTGTAAAGATTTTAATTTGTTTCTGGAAAATCTGTAATTGTAGTTGTGAGGTAATCTTTTCTTGCATAGAAACTTTTGGCTTAGGTGGTATAAAAGGGATAAGAGAAAAATTAAAAAAGGCAGAAAAAGAAACAGAAAAATAAAATGAACAATTAAGTTTTACCCCCTCGGATAAACCTGTGTATATGTTTAGTAGTGGCTGACTTCCCATCGCTCCAGTTTCTCTAACCTGCTGAAGCTGGTTCTTCAGTAGTACACAGCAAACCAGAAGACTTCTCAGCCTCCATAAGTGCATGAGCATGAGAAGCCCTATTCCAAAGAACCCCGGGCCAATTCATTCTCACTTTCCTCTTCTTCTTCTTCTTCTTCTTCTTCTTCTTCTTCTTCTTCTTCTTCTTCTTCTTCTTCTTCTTCTTCTTCTTCTTCTTCCTCTTCCTCTTCCTCTTCCTCCTCCTCCTCCTCCTCCTCCTCCTCCTCCTCCTCCTCCTCCTCCTTCTTCTTCTTCTTCTCCCTCCTCTCTTCTCTCCCACCCCTCTCCCACCCCTCTCCCACTCCTCTCCAGCTCTCTCCCTCAACCTCTTTCTCCCTCTGTCTTTCCTTCTCCCCCCCCACCCCATGTGTGTGTGGTGTGTGTGCCTTTCATTGGCTTTATTTCTATTTCTAACCGCTTTTCTTGATTGTTTGTCTTATTCCTGTGCCAGTATCATGGCATTTAGTTCTTAAAGCCCTACTTTTGTGAATCTGATCACTCCTTCTTTGTTCTTTCAGAAATCTCCCTGGCTATTTTTGCATGTCTGTTTTGACTCAAATTTATGTCTAGGGGGCTGGAAGGTGGTTCAGTGGTTAAGGGTGCTTGTCATTTTTTTCAGAAGATCCAAATTTAGTTCCCAGCACACATGCTGAGCAACTCAGCCTCTAATTTGAGTTCAAGTGGATCTGGCACCCCTTTTCTGGCTTCTTTGTGAGTGCACACATACACACATTCAAAACCAGAATGAAATGAGGCTGAAGAGATGGTTCCGTGGTTAGGATCACTTGCTGCTCTTGCAGAGAACCTGAATTGAGTTCCCAGCAAACACATGGAGACTCACAACCATCCATAACTCCCGTTATAGTATATCCAAACCTTCTTCTGGTCTCCTTGGAAACTAGTCACACATGTGGTATATACATATACATGTAGACAAATATTCATATACATAAAATAATTTTTTAAAAATAAGACCTTTTAAAAGTAATGTGGTCACTTTAAGTCCTGATGACATGTTTATTGGAGCGACATTAAATTATGGAGACTAAAGAATTCATGGAAAATATAACAACTTAAGGAAAACTAACATCGTTATGATGTCTTCCTGGCCAGTATTGAAGTTAATTAAGTCTTCTTCAGTATCCTGGAAGGTTTTAAGTTTTTTTTTTTTTTTTTTGGTTTTTCGAGACAGGGTTTCTCTGTGGTTTTAAACAAGTAAAAAGAAATCTTAAAAAAGAAAAAAAGAACATTGGGCCAAGCATGGTGGCGCATGCCTTTAAATCCAGCACTCAGAAGCCTGAAGCAGTAGCTAGCATTGCTGATATATATATAAAATTTGTTTTGTTTTGTTTTTGTTTTTCGAGACAGGGTTTCTCTGTGGTTTTGGAGCCTGTCCTGGAACTAGCTCTTGTAGACCAGGCTGGTCTCGAACTCACAGAGATCCGCCTGCCTGCCACCACCACCTGGCTAGGTTTTAAGTTTTATGGTTAGCTTTCCTTGTTCAAACTGCTCAAGTGTATTGTTCAGTTTTATTCTGACCATATCTATGACTTTTTAAATTATATCTTTGTGTCATTATGTCTTTTAACTGACATATAGTTGATATATATCTTTATTTCTATATATTAACACCCCGCACCAACTGTTAAATTATTTCATTTTTGCATTTTTAACTGTTTTCCTCACTTAGCTTTATTTTTTGATCTGATCAAACGGGCCATTTCTACAATGTTTCCTGTCTTTTGTTTTTGAGACAGGATCTCACTAGTGTTGGGATTAAAGGCATGTACCAACATACCCGGCTCTATAACATATTTTTTAAGACAGAGGAGTAGTCTTGATATATTGCTCAGCCCAGTTTTGAACAGCTAGGCTCAGACAATCCTTCTGCCTCAGCCTCCTGAGTAGCTAGGTCTGTAGGCGTACATAGTATATAGATAATTCTAGAATATAATTTAATATAACATTTAATATGGTAGCAGTTATTTCCAGGTGTACCTGTAATCCCAGCATTTTTAAGGTAGAGGCGTGATTATCCAGAGTTCGAAGGTCATTTTTGGCTACATAGTGAGTTGGAGGCCAGAGTGGGGCTACATGAAGCAAAAAAAAAAAATACTTCCATATAAGACATAATTATTGGTATTCTGTATCCATGGGTTCCACATGAATATTAGAAAAATACAGTTGATAGTCAGGAGGCAGACACAGGAGGATCATTGTAATTTCAAGGCCAGTTTGGTCTACACACTGAACTCTAGGCCAGCCAGGAAATTGCTTCTATTGACCATGTACAGAGGCTTTTCTTGACATTACTCCCTAACCAATACAGTAGAAACATTATATAGTATTTCTACTGTATGGCAATATGATCTCAAAAAGTAATATACAGGTGATTTAAAGTATATTGTAAGGTGTGTGTAGAATACATGCAAATGCTAAAGTCTTATGCAGTTCCATATAAGGGACTTGAGTAGCTGCATCTTTACTATATTTGGGGTTCTGGAACCAGTCTTCCACAGTTACCAATGGATGAATGTATTTGCTTTCTAAATTATTTTATTTTATTTTTATTTATGAGCGAGAGAGTATGCCACTTGTGTATGCTATCTATGTGGGCCAGAAGAGGACATTGAATGGTCTGGAACTGGCTGCTTGGATCTGAACTCCTGGTCTCTGGAAGAGCAGCAAGTGCTCTTAACTCCTGAGCCATCTCCCTAGCTCCTGTATTTACTTTTGAACTAAGATCACCATGTTAATAAAGTCTCTATTCATCTGTATTTTAGTACAAATTATTACGGACAGAATAGCAAGGTACCCAGAACTAAGGGGACTGAGGCAGGAGGGTCCCTGGGAGTTCGAGAACAGCCTGGTCTACATAGTGAGTTCCAGAACAGACAGGGCTAGATAGAGAGACCATATTTTAAAAAACAAGAAATGAAACTAAACAAAAACAAACTAGAGGCTGTAGGGGCTTTCCTTCAACTCACTAGCTCACTCCTATTTGAGGGAGTATTACTTTCTCCTTCTTAATAAACTTCTATTTCTTTAAAAAAAAAATAAAGACTTTTACAACTGTCATTAAGAGTCTCCAGAAATGAGGTCCAGAGATGTGACTAAGAGGTAGACTACTTGCCTAGCATGCACTAGATCTTAGGTTCAATTCTCAGTACCATTTTTTTTAAAAAAAGAGTCTGGCGGGGCAATGGTTGTGTATGCCTTTAATTCCAGCACTCAGGAAGTAGAGGCAGGTGGATCTCTGCGAGTTTAAGGCCAGCCTGGTCTACAAAGTGAGTTTAGGACAGCCAGGGCTACACAGAGGAACCCCTGTCTCAAAAAGCCCAAAAAAAGAAACACAAAGTTCTGGCAATGTTAATATTTTTCTTTAGGTAGAGTCACTGATACCATGAATTTTGTTACTATAATAAACAGGCATCCAGGGTTGGCTCAACAGTTAAGAGAGTTTGAGATCAGTAACAACTATCCCTCTGCTTCTGATACACTGCTGGATTCTGTTTCTAATATTGGATTTTACCTCTTTACTTTCTGATCAGTCTCAAATTCACTTTGGTAGGGCTATCACTGGTAGAGTCAGTTATATTGACTTCATAAAAAGTTTGGAAGGTTTTGTTTATTTCTTGTGAAAAGGATTCATAATCAATACATATCCTACACAGCAAGTATTAGAAAATATTAGAAATTATCTGTTTGGAGTGTGTGTGTGTGAGTGTGTATAGGGAGGTGTTACAGGGGATGGAACCCAGAACTAAACTAGATCCCAAACCCATGAGCAAATATCATTGCATTTTAGTAGTAAACTAAACAAGACTTTGTGTATAGGTATAGTAATTATCACTTCAACTGGTTTTCTAAGCAAATATAGACCACAAATAATATTCAGTTTTCTTCATAGTCATAGTTAGTCTCCTGGGCTTTTACTGCAGAATTCCCTTGAGTATTATAAATGCTCTGGACATTTCCAGCTCACCCTTTCCTTCACCGGGGTCTTGATTTTACATAGAGATTCACAGTTACAGAGGAAACACACAATTCCTAAGCAAATATAAAGGCAAATAGCTACGTCCATGTCCTTCTGTGTTTTAAGTCTTTTTCCTGGTTAAGGCTAGAGACAGGAGCAAATGCTCACCTAGTCTGGGCAAGGCCCTGAGTTCAATCTCTACCACCACAAGACAATAAAACAAGCACAAAAAAAGTTCCTTTAAAGTTTCAGGCCAGCCTTGGCTACATGAGACCCTACTTCTCCCAAAACAAACAAGCAAAACTGATGTTAAGATTAGAGCCAAGCGTGAACAGACAGACGAGCATTTCCTTGGATGGAAGATGTGAAAGGAATACCTGATCATGATCAACCTCTACTGGCTGCTTCTTAATGATCCAGGTAACAGACTCGGAGAGGGGCGGTGTAGTGAGAGACCCAGAGTAGGTCCAGTAATCTGGGCAAGCAGGCATCAGACAAGAAGGGTCAAATGATCCAAATTCTGCCAGGGTGTCCTGTCCAAGAGAAGGAGTTATTAGTTATTGGTCAAAGTTACTCAGGCATCAAAGGGTAAGGCAGTGAGTCTCATGGATTGTCCAGGGACTAACAGTGGTCCAGGGCATGTCCAGGGACTAAGGGTACCTTCTAAAACAGCCATCACTACTTCACACAAGATCACACTGTGGATTTGATAGCTCTCCCCGAGAAAAACAACAAAAAACGTTTTCTCCTTTAATTCTTTTGGGGGGTATTAGGTAGTGGCTGCTCATAAACAGAGAGGTGTCTCTTCTTCAAGAGAAACTAACAAGATTTGTCCTTTCAAAACTAGCCCAGAGCTGAGGGTGTAGCTCAGTGCTAGACTGCTTGCCTAGCATGCTCAAACACTGAGTTCCATCCTGGCACTGCAATGAAAGAGAAAGGGAGGGGTGGAGGAATTGGGGAGGAAGGAAATAGGGAAGGAAGGGAATGCCAGAATCCTGAACTAAGAAGAGAAAAAGAGGAAAACAAGAAGAGAGGGAGGGAAGGAGGGGGATAGGAAGGCAGAGAACAGAAGAATGGTGTACTGATTTCTGGGAAGCCGCTCATACGGGATTCTGAATACTGAGGAATTCATCTTGGCAGCTGGACAGAGGACACAGAGCGCTTCACCCTAGACAAGTTAAGTTTCTGTACAACTCTTCTCTCTGCCTACTCATGGGAGGTAGCTAAAGAAAAGAAGGTTGTTCTGAGTTGAGTGTCCCTACAAAGATGGAGAGGGAGTTGTCAGGAAAGAGTAGATTCTGGGTTAGCAAGCACTCAGCAAAACCAGAAAGCCCCACCAAGGTCATTTCTCCCGTTCATCCTGCAGGGTTTAACCACAGGATGGTCATCATCAATGCCAGGTCTCCTCCTGCAGCAGTGTGGAAAGGGAATGTAGTTCATTTCATTTGTCTTCCTGCTTCTACGTGCATTATCTACTCCGAGATTCAAATATAAGATAGGCTTCAGGTGATGTAAGGGGAAGAGTACCTTGTGCTTAATTGATGGCAGAGTGTCCACCAATTTCTGTAGTTCTTTATGATGTTTGCCTAGCTGGAAAAATAAAAGGAGAAGAAATATTATGCCCAATGGCCATCTCGCTGTAGAAACTCAAATAGGATGCGAGTCAAAATTAACCACCTGGTGGTTACATGTAAACAAACCACAGGGCTGAAACTAGATTTCAGCTGGTAATTACAAATATTATAAACAGCGCTAAATTAAATTAGACTGAGAGCAAAATGAACAGGCTGTTTGCTGGCAAGAGCGGCCTGTCTACAGAGAAAGGTGCCTCCTGTTCCCATTAACTATCATTTCTTACGCTGCATTATAAGTGAATGAAATTATAAATTACCCTGTATTTTCACTAACCTTGCTCTTTTAAGACAGGGTTTTACCACGTAGCCTGGGCTGGCCTCAACGTCTCAAACTAAGCATTTTCCAAGTGCTCACATGCCCCAGATGACTTGTGCCTTCTCTATTTGGCTGTGTAGTTTTAAGACCTATTTTATTTTTTTATTTTTATGTATGTATGTCTGTCTGTCTGTCGGAGTAGGGATCTCTGCATGTGGGGCAGATGCCCATGGAGTACAGAAGTACTGAATCCAATGAAGCAGGAGTTACAGGCAGCTGTGAGCAGCCTGGTGCGCATGCTGGGAACTGAATATCACATCAGCAAGCACTCTAGAGCACCAAGCCATTGCTCTAGCCCCTGTAACACATCTTTAGACCATTTGAAACACACTCATAATAGTTACTGATTTTTAACTACTGCTGGTTTGTCCATCTATATGTAGAACACATATATTTTTAGACAATCTCACTACATAGTCCTGGCTGGCCTCAAACCCACAGAGATCCACCTGCCAGTACCTCCTGAGTACTCGACTTAAAAGTGTGCAGCACCACACTTGGCCTGGTACTAATACTCTTTAAAATGTTGATTATGCAGGATAGTGAACTCCCTTGTGAAATTTCCATACGTATATATCATATACTTCAATTATATTCATTCCCCTTCCCGTCCCTCCTCCTCACCTTTCCTATTGATCCCAATGTTTTGCTTGTTTGTTTGCTTGCTTGCTTGCTTTGTTTTGTTTGCTTTTCTCTGTGTAGCCCTGGCTGTTCTGGAATTTACCCTGTAGACCAGGCTGACCTCGAACTCACAGAGACGTCTCTCCTCTGCCTCCTGAGTGCTGGGATCAACGGCGTGTGCCACCATGCCTGGCAGCACTCTTAAAACTCTGAGATTTCTCAGTAGTCCCTCTTCTTAAACTTTTTGAGACAAATTCTCATGTTGTAGCCCACGTTAATACTTATATATCAGCACAGAGGCAGATGGATCTCTGTGAGTTCGAGACCAGCCTGGTCTACAGAGCTAGTTCCAGGACAGGCTCCAAAGCCACAGGCTCCAAAGCCACAGAGAAACCCTGTCTCGAAAAACAAAAACAAAACAAAACAAATTTTATATATATATCAGCAATGCTAGCTACTGCTTCAGGCTTCTGAGTGCTGGATTTAAAGGCATGCGCCACCATGCTTGGCCCAATGTTCTTTTTTTCTTTTTTAAGATTTCTTTTTACTTGTTTTAAGTGTGTGTGCGTGCATGTATGTGCATGAGCATAGGGAGGGTTGATGTGCATTTGAGTGAAGGCATCCAATAGCCCTGGAGCTAGACTTAGAGGCAGTCATAAATTGGTGAATGTAGGTGCTGGGAACTGAACTGTGATCAACTACGTGGGTAGTACATGTTCTTAACCATTAAGCAATCTCTACAGATATTTTTCCTTTTAGTTCTAAATTTTCTTCAGATAAGTAGCTTATATTGTAATGTTCTATCTTTTCAGTGTAAGATACAATAGACCATTTGAACTTGGTGAGATGGTTGGCTTGCTTGTTTGCTTGCTTGCTTGCTTGAGGCAGGGTCTCTCTGTATAGCCTGGCTGTCCTGGAACTCATTATGTAGACTAAGCTGGCCTAGAACTCACAGAGTTCTGCTTGCCTCTGCCTCCCAAGAGCTGAGATTGAAGGTATGTCCCATCGTGCCCGGCCTGAGCGTTTGTTTTTACCTTTAAAAATACACCTATCACAGCCAAGCCGTTTTCTTCCAGGGCTGCATCCTCAAAGGTTTCAAATTTGACTGCATTCCAATGTACCAAGTGCAGCTGAAACAACAGGAAAAGCGAGGTTTATACAAGACCGTGCAGGGCTGCATTAAACTAAACAGACAGCCCCATCCAACATGGAGCATTTAATCTCGTTTCATCTCCTAAAATAGAGCCACTGAGAAAAGTATGTGGCGGTCCGGTACGAAGTGAGATCAACATAAGGAATGGGAAGGAGACATTGCAGCAAGAAGAGCAATATTACTTTGAAAGAGAGGGATTTGTTAGGAGAGAAAAATAAAATTCACAGAGGAAAGTAACTTTGCAATGACGGATCAACATTTTCTTCATCCCCACCCTGATTTGCATGAAATACTAATATCCCAAATCCATTTGCATCTCAAGGCAAAAAGATGTTTATATTAAGAGAAATATATTCTCCCTGTGAAAATTAGATGGGCGCTAGAGACAAATTTCTTCTTGGAGGGATGATCACTTAAAAGGTTTTCATTTTTAGCATCAAATTTAAAACTAAGTTGAGGGAAAAGTTGCAAGAAGAAATTCTATTTGCAAAGAGAAATTCTATTTCCTTGCGCTCTGCTTGCATTTCCATATCAATCATTCTTCGCCCACCTTCCTCAAACCAGGGCATTCCCATCACTTAACCTCCCACGTGGGCCACTTCGAGGTCCCAGTTAGCTCTCCGTCCTGAAGACGAGCCCAACTGCAAGTTCTGGTGCTTTGGCACTCTGACTTCAGAACCCTTCGATAATCTTCCTGTTTCTCTCATTCTCTCTTGCCACGGCCTTCACTGAGAGCCCCACTATTTCCCACTGGGATTAATCTGTTTTGCAACTCTACAGAATGTTATGGCTTTAGGAATGACTGCACCTAACTCAGAATTCAGAACGAATTCCATTCTAATTTTCAATATTTATTGATTTTATATTTTACGTGTCTGAGTGCTTTGCCCGCATGTATGTCTGTGTATCATGTATGTGCCTGGTGCCTGCTGAGGTCAGAAAAAGGCATCAGATCCCCTGGGACTGGAGTTATAAATGGTTGTGGTACCATGTGGGTGTGGGGAACTGAACCCAGGTCCTCTTGCAAGAGGAACAAGTGCTCTTAACCGCCGACCTGTCTCCCCAGCCCCAGAATGCAGTTTCGTCATCTTAAGGTTTATTTCAGATGTACTATTCCGAACAAATATAATTTTTACATGTATAAAATGGGAAGGTTCAAGCCTGTCCCCAGCAAGCTAAACAGGATTTAAAGCGTCACCTGGGACTTCTTGGTAATTTCTGTGAACTAGAAACCCAGAACTCCCCCCACTTACACACACCCATTGCTCTCTGGGACCTTTGCAGCATACTTCTGTTGCTCCAGCCAGGTCTGAACACCTTTACTCCCAGCACTTGGGAGGTGGAGGCAGGAGGATTTCTGTGAGTTCAAAACCAGCCCGGTCTACACAGTGACCTCCAGGACAGCCAAAACTACAGGAAGATCTCATCTTAAAAAAAATTAGAGGATGAAAGGAAAAGAAACATACCTCGGCTGGGTAGCATTTGTTGTCCACAGTGTGCTCGGAACCCCAAGCATCAATGGCCCCCCAGTGAAAATGAAACTGCTTCAGTCGGTAGTTGTGTTCCAGGGGTCCTCCCTCAATCACTGAAATGACACATCCAGCAATTCAGGAGACGTGGAGAAAGGGTGGACCCTGTCCTTGAATCACTTGGAGTATACCATATTACATACAAGTATTTATAAAACTGATTTCCACAAAGTAAACACTGTCTAAAGATTCGGCCGAATAATATCAAGACTGGATCACGTACCAAGCAACATGCAAATGGTAAACGCTAGATTTCAGGTTATTTTAATTAATTAAATTAATTAGACACAAGTTTTCATGTATCCCAGGCTGGTCTCAAACTCACTATATAGCCACAGATGACCATGAATCTGAATTTACATTCACCTTCTGGGTGCTGGGATTACAGTTTGACTTATTTCTCATCTGTAGTTATTGGGCCTAGTTTCCATTGTGTGAAATAAAAATGCAAATTTCTCTTGGTGTACTTATCCAATGCAATGAGATAAAACTAAACTATGCAGACAAAAGCTATTCGACAAAGATTTTAAATTCACTTAGGCCAGCCTTCCCTCAAACTAGGAATTAGTCTGGCTGAGCCTCCCACAAGCTGCCTTTAAAGGAGTGTTTTGTTCTCCTTCTTGGAAAAAAGTGAATGCATTTATTTGTGTTTGTGTGTGTCCCGGACACCATCAGACTTGGCAGTATGCATCTTCGCCTGCTGAGCCATCTCACCAGCCCTATTCTTTTTTTTTTTTTTATACACTAACACCCTCCTTTTCAACTTTTGGGGTTTTGTTATTTTTAAGCCAGGGTTTCATTGTTACCCTGGGTACAACATGGGCACAAGAAGGGGAAAAATGTCACTCTCCCATCCGCTTTGAGCTGCGCTGATCCCCACCCCCAACTTTGCTAAACCATTCTCATTCCTTCAGTCTCATCAGAGTCTAGCAACATCTGTACATGGTCAAATCAATCCAGTAGCGCTACAAGCACACATCTTGTGTATCCTTTTTATTTAAAAGGTTTTTTTTTTCATTTTATATATCAGCCACAGTTCCCCCTCCCTCCCCACCTTCCCCCCAACCCCCCCTCCCGAGCACTCCTCAGAAAGGGTAAAGTCATGATCTTCAGCGTGTACTGTGTCGTGAGTTGCAACTTCTGTGCACAAATGGTGGAGTCTGGCAACCGCAAGGACCAAATGCACTGATGTAGCGGGCAGTGGTCCCCTCTGTATCTTACTGACCTCTAGAGTTTTCTCATATGATGTCTTCTTTTGAAGAAAAAAAAAACGGTTTTGCCAAGCATAGTGTTACACACTTTTAATCCCAGCATTCGGGAGGCAGAGGCAGGCAGATCTCTGTGAGTTCAAGGCCAGCCTGGTCTACAAGAGCTAGTTCCAGGACAGGCTCCAAAGCTACAGAGAAACCCTGTCTCGAAAAAACAAAAACCAAAAAAAAAAAAAAAAAAGAGGTTCTAATCCCAAATTAAGAGGCACAGAGGGAAGGGCCCATTTTTTTCTCTTCTTTCCCTAGGACAACCCTGAAAACATATCCTGGACCTTGACTATTTGCTGCCTCCAAAGACGATGAACAAAGGAGAGAGGAGCTGTCACCAACAAAGTGGCTATGAGGGAAATGAAAGGCAGAACTGGCCTCAGGGTGTTCCAGTTTACCACATAGCCCTGGTTGACACCACACTAAAGACATTTTAAAATCCGAGTGCCAAAATTTCAAGCTGGGAAATTTCAGGGCTAGGACGGTAACTCCATGGTCAAACTGCTGGTGGCCAAGTGTGAGGACTAACGGTTGAATCCCCAGAACTCAGGTGGAATGCTAGGTGAGTGGGTGGATGAGGTGATTCACCTGTAATTCCACCCTAGGAAGCAGAGACGGGAGATTGCCAGAGCAAGCTAGCTAGAAAGACTAGCATCGGGCTGCAAGCTCTAGTTTTGAGTCCAATCAACAGGGAGGAAGAGCGATGATCCCTGGCACCAACCTAAGGCTTCCACAAGTACATGTGCTACCACGAGCATGCAAAAACCATGCACACCACACACACATGAAAACTGGGAGCAGGAAACATTAAAGCTGGGCCATTTCTTACAAACATACGTATTTTCAACCTGACTTGCATCCGTGAAACTCCTCTGGCCATGATGGGCACACAATCTCATTGGACTAACAGGCTGGGTGGGTGAAAAGGCTGCCCCCTTGGAGTAGACCCAGCTGTTCTTCATTGCTACTGCTTCCTTTAAACTCGGCCAGTCTGATTAGTTCTCATTAGCTCCCTGGCCTGTAGATACAGCCACACTGTGAGTCCTGGGAACAAAGAGCTTAGAGCGCTAGCACTGGCTCCAGCACTTTCGAAGTTCCAACCCCCTTGGTGTGCTTAGCATCATATCTGTGTAAACTGGACAACGTGGGGAGGCAATGCAGAGAAGGGTTCTACCATATAATACTGTGGAGAGGAGGAACTCTGAAGGGAAAGAACTTTGGCTTGAACCCGTTGGCTGTTTGTAATTGAAACGCAGTAGGCAAGGAGTTAGATATGAGGTAACAGGAAACAGGAGCTCTGTGCTGGGAGTTGTGTCTCTTGGTTAAGGAGGGAGGTGAGACGTGAAGAAACCAATGAAACTGTGACTGCACACTGGGGGCTTCAGTGCCGTGTTGTGGTTAAACATCCTTGAAGCTGCGGTTAGGTTTGTCCCCGTGTATCAGAAACCCAGGCCACAGGAAACAAAGGGACCGACTTCTACCCTGCTTGCTTGCTTGCTTGCTTGCTTGCTTGCTTGCTTGCTTGCAAAGCCTGATAGAGCCTGCACGGAAGCAGACTCTTTGCTAGTGAGCATACTTGCCAACTGAGGAAGTTCATACGTGATATCACTCTGTAAGTTTACCAAAATAATTTAATTTTTTAAAAGTTAATGTAGAACCTAAATAGGGAAGGGGAGCTGAAAAGGTTTTGGAAGGCATTCTTACCAGATTCGCCACCTCCTGGTGCCCATAAAAGTATAATGTGAGGCACCATTGGGTAGGCAGCACCCTTAGGAGAACAATGGGACCCTCCTCTCCTCTTCCTGAATGCCAGTAAGAATTTCAAGAAAGTTGACTAAGTTGATGACAGGAACCGTCCATGTCAGCCCAGGGATAATGTAGCATCCTCCACTGTTGTGGAATATTACCTTAGCTATGTAAAGATGAGTTACATTTATTTATGTTGTGGAATATTACTTTAACTATGGAAAGATGTGTTGCATTTGTTTATGCTGCATTTGTTTAACTATGGAAAGATGTGTTGTATTTGTTTCCATCTTGCCTGCCTAAGGCACCTGATTGGTCTAATAAAAAGCTGAAGAGCCAATAGCTAGGCAGTAGAGGGATAGGTGGGGCTGGTGGGCAGAGAGAATAAGTAGGAGGAGGAATCTGGGACTGGGAGCAAAAAGAGAAAGAGAGGGAGACGCCCGGGGCCAGCCCGCCAGGCAGCCGCCAGTCACTCAGATATGGGAAAAGCAGAAAAAGTAGGACAGAACGAAAGAAAGGTAAAAAGCCCCAAGGCAAAACATAGATAAAGAGAAACAGGTTAAATTAATTTCTATGTGGGACAAGTATACAATAAGGCCAAGCATTCATAAATAATAATGTGTCTCCAAGCTATGATTTGTGGGCTGGTGGTCTGAGAAAGACCGTTACACTCCCCGACACTTTGTCATAATTACCACACATACTCATTAAGACCAGGGAACTGTGTGTGGCATTCTCAGGGGGTATGATTGTTGGATTTCTTCTTCTTCTTCTTCTTCTTCTTCTTCTTCTTCTTCTTCTTCTTCTTCTTCTTCTTCTTCTTCTTCTTCTTCTTCCTCCTCCTCCTCCTCCTCCTCCTCCCCCTCCTCCTCTTCCTCCTCCTTCTTCTTTTGATTTTGAGACAGGGTTTCTCTGTGTAATCCCAGCTGTCCTGGAACTCACTCTTGTAGATCAGGCTAGCATGGAACTCACAGAGATATGCTTGCCTCTGCCTGGTACTGGTACTGAAAGTGTGCATCCCTGAACCAACTTGTGAGTTTAAAAGTCAACTTGCTGCAACCCAGAAACACTCGCGAATGGAGTCTGAGTTGATAAATTGGCTAGGTCAGGTTGGCCTGTGGGGATGTCTGTGGGTGATTGACTGTTACTCGAGGTGGGAAGACCCACCCTGAATACGACTGGCACCATGGCTTGGCACCACTTGGATGGTGTAAAAATAGAGAAAACTAGCCAGGGAGAACCAGCAAACAATATTCCAGGCGTTTCTCTCTCTGCTCTTGACCATGGTTGTGAAGCTTTAAATGTCTGCCTTGCTTTCCCTCCAGTGATGGACTATAATCTGGAACCATAAGCCAAATAAGCCCTTCCTTCCCCGTGTTGCTTTTTGTTAGGATATTCTCATAGCGACAGAAATAAAACTAGAACAGGGACCCGGATAACAAAGCCATACTCTGAAAAGGACAGCAGTGTGGCGCTCACATGCCTTCTAGTCTAGAGCCGTGAGTTTCTGGTAGGTAGGTTGTGTTGCCTCTTTAGTCATGCCGGGTTTTAATAGCGTCTTCTTTAATGTTTTCTTGGCTCATCTAATTGAACCTTTGTCGATGCTGTTGCTCCTTCCAAAGAACCACTTTTTCATTCCATTGATTTCTGTTCAGCTCATTATCATGGCCTTCTTTCCTGCTTTGGGTTTAATTTCTTCTGGTGCAGTTTCTTAGGGTGGGAAGCTAAGTTTAGTGATGGGACAATGCTCTTCTCTGTTATGGGCCTTTTCATCTATGAATTTCCCTTTAAGACGATGCTTTAGCTGCTCTAAGACTTGGCAGGATGCTTTATGTCACATAACTTCCCTGGCTCTTTTCCTTCACTTTATTCCAGATCATACAACACACTCTGCAACAGGATTTCTCGGGGCATTTTCATTTCCTATTGTATTTTGAAACTCATAAATTAGATTTTTCTCCCTAGAACTGTTCCTTGCTTTTCTTCATTTCTAACATGTCTTTACTTTCTTTTATTATTTTCTTTACTTTTGATGCGTAGGTACTCTATTTTTG